CAGACCTGGCATTCAAAAGCATCATCCTGAGACCAAGGCATCTAACAATCTAGTTATCTGGCTCACAAGGCGAGACTGCTAAGCCTGAAGTAGAGATGGGCCCTAGATTTCTAATTTCTCTTTCCCTGGAATGGCTCCCCCCTCCCCTCCCAACCCAATCTTCCACAATACTTCCATATGTCCATTGTGACCATCATTTTCCTTTCCATCTTTGACTACTACGCTATTCAGCTCCCCTCTAACAAGCCCCCAGACTCACACTGGATAATCATCAATTTAATATGAACTCACTACACCAGGCAGCTATGTTCAGACACACCCAATACAATTCCCCATGCAATCTTTCTCAAAGAGCAGCCTGGTTATTTACTTCCACTTTCCTCTGGCTTCATCTACCCTTACCTCCTTCCAATTTTCCACCTGGCTCTCACTGGGACTGGAGGACGTTGGGAAGCAGCTCTCCCCTCCTTCTTCTCTTAACCCAGGGGGGTGGGGGACTCATCCTCAGCTCCTTGCCTCTTAATCAGGGAGCAAAATAGTCTTTTTTCCTTTTCCTTTTGTTGCTGTCCATCATAAAGTGCTCAAATATTTCACTGTTGGGTGATCCTAGGGGGCTCTTTGGTTTACTGAAAACCTCTGGGAAATGAAGCAGCAGAAGAGATTCCACTGCTTCAATGAAATACACAAAGTGAATCTGATAGAGTATGGTATGAGTTTATGTTTCAGCCTACATCATGGTGATTAGAACAGCAAGCACTCTTTCTTTCCTTGTGTCGACAAGCTGTCATCCAGTAGCCTTGTTTAAGGTTGTCCATTCCCTATTCATGAATGATGAATGAGAAGAGCTATTACCTGGTCATTGTGATTTGTTAGTGCAAACCTTTGCTGAAAATACTCTGTAGTATGTTGTCAGTCATGTTTGGACTTGTTCCATGCACCTCCCAACTCCTTTTGGTTGCCAAAGGTAGTGTGGTGAACTAGGTTCAGGAACTTATGAACACCTCTTTGGGAGAGGGGGTGTTTTTACCAGGCTTGAAAGAAGTGGTTGCAAGCCTCCTCCATAAAGAAGTATTCTTTGCACCTAACAGTTTTGGAAAACTATCATCTGGACTCTAACCCTTCTCTTTTTAGGGAAGGTAGTTGAGAGGATGGTAGGGACAACAACAAAGTGCCCTCATCATAGACCTTTTATAAGAGATGGTGGCAGCCAGGAAGAGTACGTTTGGGTTTCATAACAAACATTTTTTATTATAAAGTACACAGCCCCTCCTAACTGTTACATGGCCTTTAAAAAATGTATTACCTTCAAGAAAGGTATGGGCTTATATGCAGCTGGATATGCACTTCTGATTGGAGATGATCATAGGTGGCTCATGGTCTTGGTAAGAGATAGGCAAAGATTGCTCTCTCATAGTCCTTGAAGAAACAGCTATTTGGGTCTCTTCCAGTCCAGATTCAGAGCCAGTCACAGGATAGAAACAGCACTGTTTACACTGATCAATCCTTTTAGACCTCTCAGTAGCATCTGATGCCATCAATCATGGCATCCTCCGGACCCTCTTATCAGGGCTGGGAACCAGGACAGTGAGGGAGTCAGTCATCTGAATGGGATTGTATCAGACATCTGGATGGGATTAATTTTCTGCTTGGCTGTCTAACATTCAGACAACCTGACCTGAACATAATTAAAAGCATTACTTCAATAGTTCCACTCCTTCCTGATTAGGAGGTACCAACCAGTGGGAGACGGGAGTGACACAGTGGTGAACAGATTAGAAGAGGTCAATCTACATGCCAATACCAAAGAAAGGACACTTAACAGAGTGTGCAAATGATTGTACAATATCCTTAACTTTGCACCCTAGCAAAATGATGCTTAGGAACATCCAATGAAGATTAAATCCCTACATGGAAAGTCAACTGTTAAAGCTGGCTTTAGAAAAGCAGAGGAACACAAAACATTATTGCTGATGCATGCTAGGTAAATGAGAAAGTCAAAGAATACCAAAAATAAGTCAGTATGTGCTTCATTGACTATAAAAAGGCCTTTAATGTCTCAATCATAGTGAGCTGTGGAATGCCCTTAATAAAATGGAAATCCCAGAACATCTTATTGTTCTCATGTGAAACTTACACATAGGACAGGAAGCCACCATAGAAACAGAACATGGCAAAACACATGCCTCCAGGTTGGCAAAGGCGTCAGACAGCACTATTCTCTCCCCTTATTTATTCAATCAATATGCACAATATACCTTGAGGAAAGTGTGACTGTAAGAAGATGAGCATGGTTTTAAAATTAGAGAAAGAAACATCAATAACCTACACTATGCTGATGACACTAGTCTGAGAGCCGAAAATGCAAAAGAGCTGAAAGTTCTAGTAATGACAGTTAAGGAGCACAGTGAAAAAATGGGGCTAAGATTAAAAGAAAGAAGACCAAACTAAAGACAATAGATACAGCAACCAAACAGCTGACAATGAAAATTTTGAAGCGGTGGATAGTTTCTACATTTTAAGTTCAACAGTCAATAGTAAAGGAACTTGCAATTAAGACATAAGCCATAGACTAGCATTTGGCAGAGTAGCCATGAAGTTCTTGGAAAATATATTCAGATACTGTGATGTCTCTATATTTACAAAAATCAGAATCATGCAGACAGCGGTTTTCCCTGTAATGTTCTATGGAATGTTATACTTTGAAGAAGTAGCATAGAAAGCAAAGAAGCACTGAAAGCATAGCAGCATAGAAAGAGTATTGATGCTTTTGAATCGTGTTGCAAAAGACTCTTGAAAATTCCATTGATAGCCAAGAAAACAAAGGCTGGGAAAGGTGAAAGGAAAGATAAGAAGATGATCAACAGCAAGGTGGCTGGATTCAAGTACAGCAGGAATACGTGCATCAGTGGAAGACCTGAAGGATCAGTTGGGGACAGATACTCCTGGAGAAAATCTATCTACAGTGGGGCAAAAAAGTATTTAGTCAGCCACCAATTGTGCAAGTTCTCCCACTTAAAAAGATGAGAGAGGCCTGTAATTTTCATCATAGGTATACCCTTATTTTCCACCATGATTTGCTAATAAATTCTTTACAAATCCTTATTTTCCACCATGATTTGCTAATAAATTCTTTACAAATCCTTATTTTCCACCATGATTTGCTAATAAATTCTTTACAAATCCTTATTTTCCACCATGATTTGCTAATAAATTCTTTACAAATCCTTATTTTCCACCATGATTTGCTAATAAATTCTTTACAAATCCTTATTTTCCACCATGATTTGCTAATAAATTCTTTACAAATCCTTATTTTCCACCATGATTTGCTAATAAATTCTTTACAAATCCTTATTTTCCACCATGATTTGCTAATAAATTCTTTACAAATCCTTATTTTCCACCATGATTTGCTAATAAATTCTTTACAAATCCTTATTTTCCACCATGATTTGCTAATAAATTCTTTACAAATCCTTATTTTCCACCATGATTTGCTAATAAATTCTTTACAAATCCTTATTTTCCACCATGATTTGCTAATAAATTCTTTACAAATCCTTATTTTCCACCATGATTTGCTAATAAATTCTTTACAAATCCTTATTTTCCACCATGATTTGCTAATAAATTCTTTACAAATCCTTATTTTCCACCATGATTTGCTAATAAATTCTTTACAAATCCTTATTTTCCACCATGATTTGCTAATAAATTCTTTACAAATCCTTATTTTCCACCATGATTTGCTAATAAATTCTTTACAAATCATGAAAATTACAGGCCTCTCTCATCTTTTTAAGTGGGAGAACTTGCACAATTGGTGGCTGACTAAATACTTTTTTGCCCCACTGTATGTGGTCACTAAGAGCCAACTTCAATCTGATGGCACATAATCAAAAGCCAGTGGGAGAGGAAAGGTGGGCACTGAGTTGTGGATCCCTTAGGGCTTAATTCTCTCTCCTTTGCTATTTAAAATCTATATGAAATCACTGGGAAAGCTCATCCATCAGTTTGAGGTGAGACAGCATAAGTTCACTGATGGTACTCTGTTGTATACTGCTAGCCTAGCCTGAGGCAGAAAAACAACAGAAGACCTGAACTTTTTTTGGGGACCCCAGATAGGAGAGAACAAAACAGACTGAAACTGCAGTTCTACTGAAAGCAAGGAGGATTGGCAATAGTGACTCATGCTCTTATTTCTACCCAACTGGATTACTGCAGTTTACTCTACATACAGCTATCTTTGAAGGGAACTGGAAACTGTTATTGGTTCAAAATAAAGCAGTCCACAAATCAATGAATCTGTGTGCCACAGCCACATAACATCTCCTTTGGGGTTGTTGCACTGGTTGTCAACAATTATCCAGTACAATTCCAGTGTTATCCAGATAATCCAATATTCACACCCCATCAAAATCTACTGACAGTTCTGCAGGCCTGGGAAGTAAAGGGGAAGTGGGAAGGGAGCTCACAGACAATGTTTTTTCATTTGCAGCCCCTGCATTTTGGAATAGTCAGATGCCTCAAGTGGGAGGACATATTCTGATTCTAAGAAACAAAAGAATTCAATAAAGCAGAATGATGATCAACTCAAATATAAATATTAATGCTGTGGTGGTCAAAAACAAGCTGAAGAAGTTTGGTGTTGTGTATGGCAGATTGTCCAGATGGAAGGTTTTAAGCTGGAATAAGAGCGAAACCACCACTTCTGGAGAAGAGCACTGGGAGGCATCTTCAGGGTGCCCCAGCTGCAGACTGACCTTGAGATATAGAAGGAGATATGAGGATCCTTGCTATGGAAAGAGTTGATAGGCATGTTTGAGACGGAGCAACAAGGTTACATGGATGTGATATATGTCTGTGAATCAGAGACCATAAAGCAGAAGTGATATGCAACTGATTAATACAGTCCACCTTATTAACAGCAGAAAATGTTTTCCAAAACTTTCAACAAACATGAACCGAACCCTAGGTAACAGGTAAGATCCTGAGCTTACCTCCATCTTCACAGTCTTCAGGAGCTTTGGCTTTTTTACACAGACGAGGATCCAGCCAGGTGGTAGTTTTTGTATTGTGGCTGTGGAGACGGAGTAATTAGTCAGAAAATACACATAAAAAGTCCCCTTCATATATTATTATAGAAACATGTTACACTCATCTTCAGTCACTGGTGTCCTCTCCCTCTCTCCACACACACACACACACACACACACTTATGCAGCTACATGGAGACAGTCCACAGTCCTGCATACATGACCTCTTATTTGAGAAACAGCTATATGTGATGACACAAATGAAGAAAAAATCCTAAGCATGTAATTTCACTTTTATTAAATATTTCAAAATAGAACCCTAAATATGTTTAATCCATAATTATTTGAAAAATATTTTGTAATTTCTGACAAAGTTAACCAAATGGATGAACTGTGTTTCAGCATTGCTAAAATATGCTTGAATCATGCTCTTTTTTAAAATGACAGATTTATATAAGAGAAAAACTTGTTAAACAGCCAAAATCTGTTTTAGAGGTATGTGTTCATAGTCACAGTTTACTTAGTTTTTCTACAAAACAGCAGATTTGTTTTGAATGGGGTTAACTTAGGTTAAAGTTGTCAGAAAATACTGATAACTAATGCTTCAGCATTCAGTGAATGATGAATTCATGATTTGTGTGGGTGTATGTGTAGTTTATGAGAGAAGAAACAGACTAATGAAACAAAACCACACATGTGCCTTCTATTTATAATAGGTCTCAAATCATATTCTATTCAGCTTGTTTTTAAGGACATTTCTAAAAGTAACAAAACAGGAATTATCCAAAATAAAGGTAGAGAATTTTGCATACTTTTTTAGGGTATTGAATTATCCAATTCATAGCATAATTATAAAATAAATGGTAGATTCATTATTTAAATGAGAAGTTGAGTTCTTAAAATTGACACATGATTTAATAGTCCTGCATTAAAGCTATGAATTTAGAAATATAAACTATAAAAACTTTTAAAATATTTTAAAATGATTTACTTGAAATACTCAGGGATTTTTACAGACTTGTCTTTTACAAAAAATGTATTCTATACAATTGCATTGATCTGAGCAGTCTACAGAGATTTTTGATTTGGGGAAATACATCTTCTTTGACAGAAAATATTTTCCTTGATAGAGAAAAATGAAGAAGACCTTTTTTTCCCCAAATAAACCTTGGAACATGGGCATTTTTTCTACCATTGGTTTAGGTAGATATTGATTATATTATTAGCATGTTAGCATAAATTAATCAGCTTAAACTCCTTTTAATGTACTAACAATCTTCTTGATTTGATAATTCTAAATGCACACAATACCAGTTTCTACTCACTCAATGAAATAGATCATTCCGGTGTCTGTGTAGGCCATTTCCCAGTTCTTGGGGAGAGGCTCTAAATTTTCTTCCCTCGATAAATAGTTTTTGAAATCCACAGAACTATTTGTCTGACTGTAACTAGGAACAGGTTTCATCCAGTCAGAAGACTCTAAATGTCGCTCTTTGCCTTCTGCAATTATTTAAAGAAAATCATTTGTTTTAGCTTTGTTCTGCTTCACACAAAGGTAAATTGAATATGTCACAGAATCCATAAGAACAAAGATAAGCAGCATAATTTGTACCTAGACATTTCCCTTATACCAACCAGGTCCCCTATCCCACCTTTTTTATTTAATTAAAAAACAAAATAGGAAGTACATGCTACAAAGCAAATTTTCAATCTCTAGCATCCTATTTGTTTATAAAAATGTCTTTGGGGCCTATGAAGTTTCCACTGAAATGGTACAGAGAACCCTAGAAAGCTTTTTCATCATTTGAGAATTTTATTTTATTTTTTTAAATCAGAAATGCCCATTATGGCAACCATTTTGTGAACAGACAAATATCCCATAGTAGTCATTTCAAAAGAGTGTTCTCTCAAAATTCCAAACATTTCTTTGGCCCTGAGAGGATACCTATCCCTGGACAAATTTAAAGTACATTAATCTAAGGACACTGAAAACAATCATTTTTAAAATACCTGAATTAGTATGTGTGTATCTGCATGTGTTGACATTTAATGAACTCAACAAGTTAAGCCTCAAAATGTTGAAAGGGGGAATCTCTTATAAACAAAAAAAAAAGCATTGTATTACAAGTTATTACATTTATATCCTATTTTTCATCCAATATCAAAGAAATAAAATCTTTACCATAACTTTTTTAAAACTTCAAAACAGTACTATGATATGGGTTGAGGAGGAGCTCATGGAACATTACAGTAAAACAAATGTCATACAAAAAATTCAGTTATCCACAGAACGGAGAAATCTTTGGCCCAAGCCATCTAATGAGCTGCCTGTTTCCTGTCATTATCTGAACCAGTGTCTTCCTAGTCCAGAATCCACGCATTACAACTGCCAAGTAATTTGTTTAATTTTAAAATGAATAGGCAAGGATCAGCCTGCAAATATAACAATGTAAGAAACAATCTAACAAACTTTCATTTAATACTTATTTACAAAGTAAGTAAATATGTATTTACAAAGTAAAAAACAGGAACTGACCTGTTCCTCCACTACCATTAACTGCTACTTTTTCTTCTTCCTCTTCTTCTTCAGGAAGAGAAGTGTCCATTTTCTGCATTTTGCTGACTGATGTTGTTCTTTTTCTTTGAGATTCCGGGTCAAAATCGTTATCAAAAAGCACCTGGTCCACTGGATCAGGTTGGAATGGACTAGGCTCAGCTGGAGGTTTAGGAGTGCCATAGAAATTACCTTAAATGTATATATGTAGAAGAAAGAATACGTACATATTCAGAAAAAAAAAAAGATGGTCATAAGGATTTTTGCAATGGTCCATTCTCATTAAATTTATTTAACATTCCTGAACTTATCTGTTATCCTAAGAATCAGTTAATTTACATGTAACTACTACAATTTATTTGCAGGTAATCAAGACATGTAAACTCAACTGACAATTTAAAACAGTTGCAAGACTTATTTATATAGATATTAAATAATGTTTAGGCTTAATATCCTGTTATTATGTTTAGGCATTAATAACCCAAAACCAAAATTATTCTGTTTTTATTCTGTTTTTAATTGTTAGACTCCCAGAGTCATGTATTTAAGATGGGCAGCCATATACATTTATTAAATAAAACATTATTTATTTATTCTTTATATTTATATAGCCACCCATCTAATAAACATAATAAAAAATAGAATAAGTGAATAAATAATAAGTCTGCATAATCAGTTTAGGTTCATGTGCATCTGCACAAAGGCAAGAAGAGGCAAACAGTGATAGATGTGACATAAATACATATTTGTGGAGTTTGCACAGTAACAGCATAATACAAGTGCCATTATTTTGACATTACTGCAAAAAGATTGTCAGCCCAAGGTAGACCAGATCAGAAAACAGACTCCACAGTAAGACTAGAACTATATTTTATTGAGACAGGCATTAATAACAGAAACTTGGAAACTTGATTGTGTTTCTCCTCCTCCCTGCTCCCCCCCCCCCCATTTTCCAGTGAGTCAGGAAAGAATCTCTTCTTTATACTATCTCCCTTCCCAGGGCTTAAGGAATGCTTCTGTCTTCTCTGCTTACATAACAGTTTCTGAATATTTGCTTCAGAAAATATCCTGGATCTCAACACTTATGGACACCACTGTATAGATTCAATAATTTGAAAATGAAAAACAGTAGGCAGATTTTAAATTATTTTATCTGGATGTCAAGTATTCTGATATCTTATATTTTTAAGGGTTATCTTTGATACTTTGTTAAGTTAAATATATAATCACTCCTTGGATAAGACTGCTGCTCCTGCACTATTTTTTTCCCACAGGAAACACAAAGTGACACAATTTAGACGATAGCCTCCCGGATTATTATTTACAATCATCATTGTACAAAGTCCTTGATCATGCCTTTTTGGCTCCTCTTGACAGTGAGAGTAGCTAGATAAACCTCTGGTTTATCTTAACATCCAGCATATGCTTTTATTGCATTAATCTGAAGCAAAAAAAGCCAGAAGAAGGAAAGAACAAATCCAGGATTCCAAGGCAGAGTTAGATGTATACAAACATACTGCTCATAAATAACAATAAGAACCTGTCTACATATACCTAGGATCCCTTATATGGTCAGGGCATCCTAATGTGTTCTTACAGATGTTGAAATAATTATGTGCAGGTTATGTATGTTACATATTCAGCTGAAAAAAATCTGGAGTTTTAACAATCTACTGCAGCAACACGTATCTATAAATAAACAAGGTTGTTATACTTTAAAGGCCAAAACATTCAAAATACCCTCTGTCGCTCAAACACATGACTCAATTTTAATATGGCTTACTCCTAGGTAAATGTGTGTACAAATGCCCCTTTAGGAACCAAAAAATATAACTTTCCATTTCTATATATTTGACCATCTAATGCTATAGATGTGTCTATAATACATGTATGATTAATTCACCTATCTGCTTTGCAGGAATACATCATACCTGCCAAAATACTGTAATTTTCAAATTCAACTCTATTTCTGATATTGCTGTTGAACAATATAAAGCACTTAATCCCAAAGTAGCTGCCCTACATGAGCCTTCTATTAAACAAAGGATATGTTATTTTACTTTATATTCACTAATATTCCAGAATAAAACCATCTCAAAAACTTGTAAAAAAGCTAATGAAAATGAAAACCAATTCTATTTCAATATACAGTAGATCATAATTAATCAGAAGAATCTGTACATTTTTTGGTTGCTGCAACCAAGAACAAACTCATTTTTGTGCAGAAAGATGAAACAGCAATTCACACAAAGGCAATATTAAATAAAATGTGTGGATAGAGGATTATTTCTATTCTTTCATATGGCAGCTTGTTCTCCAAATAAAGCTATTAGCTCAATACTCAATTACACCTCAGAAAGCTAAAAATAGTATGTTGTTTCACTTGAGGGATCTCAGCACTATTTTTAATAAAATAAGTGTCTTGGTACAAAAAATTAAACAATTGACTTCTTACTCCTTAATTAATCATTGCAACCTTAATAAGGAAATTCTACATAGCACAAAAGAGATTGCCAGGGCTCCAGTATTTTAATATTTTGAAACTGTAACTCTATTTTGCCCTTGTAAAATATTTAAATCCATATCAAGTGCCTTTATCAACTGTTAATATGGTATCCAGGTATAGTAATAAAAGCCATCACCTGGTGTGTGTGTGTGTGTGTGTGTGTGTGTATGTAAGTATGTATGTAGATGGATGAGTGGATGGATGGATATATAGACAGATCTATACAAATTTAAAAGCAAACAAAAAGCAAAGTTCCAAACTGCACAAAAATCAAGTCATAAACCAGTATCATCTCTGGTAACATTATTAGTGCTTGGAATTTGGAGCCATCAGCTGCTGACAAAACATTTAAAAATACAGTCTCTGCCTGAAAAATAAGTTTCCACTCCTGCATAAAAACAACTTGCTATGCAATAACAATGGTCATCTTTAAAGCTATGCTTACACACACAAACATATTCGATCAATGACAGCCATTTGATTATATCTCTTTATCATCCAAGGCATAAATAAACAAGCAACGCAACACTTTCTTTTTTGACTGCTAAAATTATTCTTGAATGTTTTCAATTAATCCTAAATAGTTTTGTGTTATTTCTAAACCAGGCCATTATGATTATCAGATACAAAAGACAGAATTTTAAACCAAGTGTAATATAGATTAAGATTCTGGTTAATCTTAAACAATTTCTCTGAACAGCTCAGACGTATCAATAGCTACCAGTGACCACACTGTGCTGAAGGCAGGAATGAAGACAAATCTCTGATTTTATTTAAAACACCATAAAGAATAAAGCAAATACAGTAATTGGGATAGGCAGACAGACGCGCGCACACACACACATACACATAGGTAAAAGATGATTCATACATCATGTTTTAGAAGTTCTGCATGACAGCCATTCATTTATATGGAAAAAGGTAACATGTTGCATTCATATAAGAAATGTAATACAAACAATAGCAGTTCATCAGTTTTATTCTTGATAACTCTATGTGAGATCCATATATAAGTGCTGTTTACATTTTATCTGTGTACTTGGAAAAAATGTATTTACAAACATATTTTTAAAATACTATAAATAAGTCTATAAATAAGCAGCAAAGTAAATATTTTCTGGAAAGGAGAATTTAAAGGATGACCACCACAGAATCAAAATTAGGACATGGTAGGGAAGAATAAGTAGTTCTTGATGGCAATTGGGAGTGGGATTGTAAAGCACGATGTCACACGACTGAATCACTTAATGACGACAATCCCGGCAGTCCCAGTTGCTGTCAGAATCCCAAGATACTTAAACAAGGAAAATTACCCCAAACATTCTTTGATTTGAAAGACATGTTGGATTTACAAGATATTTGGAGACTTTTAAATGGAAATTCCAAGGAATATACATATTATTCTGAGAGATTTAAGTCCTTTTCTCAAACAGATATGTTTTTGATTTAGACATGTTGGATTTACAAGATATTTGGAGACTTTTAAATGGAAATTCCAAGGAATATACATATTATTCTGAGAGATTTAAGTCCTTTTCTCAAACAGATATGTTTTTGATTTCTAAAACTTTGATGATGGATGTTACTAAAGTTGAAATATTAT